AATGATGTCGTGATTGGGGTTCTCTGGGGAACGGGGTCGTGTTGAGTGCCGAAATACCTTGACACACGGCTCACGCTGTTATCGTCAACTTGCCAGCTTTCACAAGAAAAGGCAAAGGGTCTCCATCGTTGAAGAGAAAGCCACAAATTGTCTCACCAAAATTGCCTGCACCATTAGCAGCGAGTAGAAGCGTCCAGAGGAGGCCTTTCGTTCCTTGTAGAGCGCACTGAGCACGAACACATAAAGAATACATGATGGAATACAGTAAACCAGCCTCACATATACTCGATATTCGTACATGCCACACCGACCTGTGAAAGCCAAGGTGTATTGTAAGCCGAATTATTACACGCCTTCTATTCGAGTCGCACCAAAATCATCTGACATATGAATCGAAGCTGACTCAAAGCTAGCTACAACAGTGAAAATAATGCGCGCTGTCGCGTAGCGGTCAATGTTTTGGCGAGCAGCCAATCTAGCGGTTCTGTACCGATTAACTTTCCTCTTTTTTGATTGAATGCTTACTAGCATGGCTGCACTCATACAAGTAGTGAAATATATTTTGCACTATTACAACCCCAGTAGGGGTGAGATGGTCAAAAAAATTTTCGCTGAAACTTCTTTATAGGGGTTATCGAGGGTCCTGATCACGAATATGACATCCATTTTTGGCGCTGGCGCCAAATTGGCGCCAGATGGCGCCCTGACTGAATCTCTCCAAATTCGCTGTAAACTTGTGCATATGTAGGGGTTGTTTGAGACCCTGATTACGAATATAACATTCGTTTTCACCGTTCGCGCTGTTTCAACGCATCTGTTCTCAGCTTCTCACTCAAAGCACCTACGACTCAGCCTAGGAAAATGTGGTGATTGCGCCCTATAGACCTTATTCACTTTGGAGCCCTTTACTCTTCAAACGCTTAGTCCTGATTTCGAGCGGTATTTTCGAACAATGCGACCTTCAATCGGACAGGGTTTCTGCGAAATGGGGTAAGATCAAAAAATTTAAACTATGGAGAGAGATTGATTGCCGTATTCAAAAATGATACCATTGACGGCGATCTTTATTCATATCATATGTCGTTGATATCATTATCACATTACTCGACCAAGTATTGCAGTAATTAATTGCATATTATAATTGTATGCGGTAACGTTTTATGGAATAATTGAACAGACGAACAAAATCAGAAAAAATTTGTTGCCATAAACGCGAGAGGATTTATTTGAGCTGCTGAGAAAGGAAGCTTCTGCGGTACTGACTGTACTGAATAGCTACTCGGTTCCAATTCGTATTAGACTTGGCTTTAGGAAAACAGATGAAAATTGACTGTTCCACTCTCGTCTCGACGAATATAATACGATAATAACGGGTTGCGGCAAAAAAAGAAATTCAACTCTTACTCACATTCAAAACAGAATTAATTACACTTTGCCAAAACCAAACCGAAATGAGCTCAATTGCGTATTGAAGAGCACATTCTATTCTATCAAAAACATTGCATAGTGGCCTTTCTAAACCGACGACATCCAGAAGATTTTCCCACGGAAACATGGTTCGCGGTACGAGCTCAACGGGGTCGTCGAGAAACCATAGATGATTACGACGTCTCTGAAACGCTGGTCAAAAGCCATTTTGCATAGTCAGAGCTAGTGTCCCTAAGAAGTCATTCACCAGTTATCCGATTGAAGAAATTATGTAGCAGCTTCAGAATGGAGCGATTATGTAGGCCTCCTTGAGCTCGACGGTGATGACAGATGACGTCATATTCTGGAGACGGTGAAAGCAGCGAAGGTGGGCCTGATTCTGCTTATGGGGGGACATCTAAGGAATAATTCGCCGTATAACTCCCAATAACAGCGGCATCCTTTGCGACGAAAAGTTTGATGATATGCGCCATGGCAAAGTGACTCTTTTTTTGCCCCCCCCCCCCCTGTATTCGAAACACCAACATACGACCTCCCCTATACAAAAGAAGTCCTCTCACTGCCTCCAGAGACTTTTAGAGCAATGCTACGATCGAAGTTTCAGTGTACCAGCAAGTTTAACGAGCTACAACGAAACGTACGTTACCCTTTTTGGTGCGTTTCTAAAAGCGTATCATAGCAGCTATTTTTTGAATGATGTTTGAGGATGCAATGCCTTGGCAGACTAAAAAAGTCACGCAGGTTTAATGAGGGTAGCAGGTGAGAGTGAGCCTTCTAATTCATAGCTTGCATGTTCAGAACAGGTATCAATTAAACCTAAACAAGGAAATTCATTTGAGATAATCTAGCATTTCGTCGCAGTAGACATTATTTAACTTCCGGATCATACGACAAACTCGACTCAAAAGAAGTCTCCCCTTTATTGAGGTTGGGTGAAATGGTCACGGTACATACACAGTAACCGTCCGAAAGTTTGGAAAACATTTTAAATTTCAATACTGTCCAAGCATTGATCACAAAATGGCCCCTCAATTCACTCAATCAAACCTCCAAGCTGCCAGATCACCAGTAACCTCAACCGAAACTTTTTCAGTAATCGGATATCATAAGGATAAAGGATAAAGCATTTGCCGTTGATCAATCCCTTTTTGGGATGCGGCACGCATTCTACTTCCATTTGTACATTCGTAGTGGCGTTTGAATGCGATGTGGCCTATACAATGACTTGCGGGGGCCAGCCGATGTTCACAAGTCAGTGTTTTTATCCTCCCAGACAAGTCTGGTACCAATTAACCGACCCCGGAGGGATGGAAGGCTTGGTTGGCCCGGGCGACTCACGACCCAGGATTTGATCCCGGACCGCTCGCGTGGTAAGCGTGCCACTTGCCAATACACCAAAAAAAAAAAGAGAAAAAGAAAACCCCCCCCCCCCCCTTTTGATTCGAGGTCAACCCACCCTAGGGGACCGCCTGTTTTTCCACTACTTGTTTCCGTTGTTCGAGTCCTCCGACTCCCTGGAACTTTGCTTGGCCTCCGGCTGGCCTGGCCATAGAGCCAATACATTTCCAACAAAAGATTTGGTGTTACATACCTATTAATCAAATCGAACGGTTACGAAAGTAAAGGCAAGTTTCTGGGTGGAAACGTAAACACGTCCACACGAAATGATTACTTGTGTAATGGAGCGTCATAGTTGGCGATCGTACGTGCGAATACGAGCGATTAGGCGAGTAGGCGATGATTCAAAATGAAAAGTATGCGGATCGATTAGGCGATTAGGCGAGTTAGGCGAGTAGGCGAGTAGGCGAGTAGGCGAGTAGGCGAGTAGGCGAGTAGGCGAGTAGGCGATCAGGCGATGAGTAAAGGATACGTATCGATTAGGCGAGTACGCGAGTAGGCGATCAGGCGAGTAGGCGATTAGGCGAGTAGGCGATTAGGTGATATCTGGATTGTATGCAACACTTTGACAAGATCTGCTTTTACCAACTAGTAGTCTAGTGTATGGGTGAGAAGCTAATATGCATGTGCGCCTCAATTTTGACGACTAAGGAGTGCGCCGTGTGCAAATCGCCTAATCGCCTAATCGCCTATCGCCTACTCGCCACTCCGCCTAATCGCAAGTATCACCTGTCACCTGTATCACCTGTCGTCCCGTTGATCATCGAATTGCTCGAGCGGGCGCCAGCAACGTCTCCATTCGTCCCTGTCGCGTGCAAGAGTTGTCCAGTGGACCCTCCTCGCTCGAGGGACACGAAGTCCTTCATTCCTTTCGTTCAGAGCTTTCGTGAAGAAGTCTGACCATCGGGCCGGCGGTCGTCCAGGTGTTCGTTTGACGTCCCGAGGGATCCAGTCGGTAACCGCTCTGGTCCAACGGTCATCGCAAAATCGCATGACGTGTCCGGCCCACCTTATGTTCGATACGCTCCCCAAGCCGCTCGTTTCCTCCTGCTCAGCTCTGGAGCTAGATCGTTCATCATATTGATTTCCCGACCTAGGTACACGTAGCTGGAGCATTCGGTGATGTTCGTTCCGTTGAGCGTGAATGGGGCATCAGGAACCAATCCGTTTCTCATAAACATCGTCTTCGTTAGGTTCAGCTGTAGACCGAACCTTACCACAGGCGCAGTCGAAATCAGCCAGCATTCGCTCCGCTTGCTCGATGTTCGGCGTTATAAGAACGATGTCGTCAGCAAAACGAAGGTGGTGTAGTTGCCGGCCGTCGACCTTCACTCCCATGTCTTCCCATTCCAGTTGACGCATGACGTTCTCGAGAGCGGCGCTGAAGAGTTTGGGCGAGATGGTGTCGCCCTGTCGAACCCCTCTCTTGACGTCGATGATGACCTCCTTGTAGAATGGTGAGATTCTGGTCGTAAAGTTGCTGTAGAGCTCACGAAGAATCTTGATGTACTGAGTAGGGACGCCCTGGTTGCCCAAGGCTTCGATGACCGCTTCTGTCTCCACAGAGTCGAAGGCCTTCTTCAAGTCGATGAACGTGAGACAAAGCGGCATCTTGTACTCTCGTGAAACTTCAATGAGTCTCGTAACCGTGTGGATATGGTCGATCGTGCTGAACCCTCTTCGAACCCTGCTTGCTCGCATGGCTGTCCTTCATCTAGTATTCTGCCGATCCTGTTAAGGATGACTCGAGTGAATAGCTTGTAGATTACAGACAGCAGGCAGATTGGGCGATAGTTGCCAATGTCGTCCAAGTCTCCCTTCTTGTACAGCAACACGGTCCTGCTGGTTTTCCACGGAGTGGGTACCTTGCATTCCGACAGGTAGCGCGTGAAGAGTCGAGCCAGAGTTTTGATGATAACTGGCGGCGCATTCTTCAGATGTTCCGGTTTGACCCTGTCGAGACCGGGTGCTGTACGATTCTTCACCGACTTGATGGCGTGTCGGACTTCGGAAGAGAGAACTGAGGGGACGACGTATCCATCCTGTTGCAGTTGATAAGTGGGCAGATGGACATGGCTATCGAAGAGATCCGAGTAGAAGTCGTGGATGACTTTCTCCATTGCCCTTCGGGATGCAGTAACTGTTCCATCCGGACGTCGGAGGCAGGTCATCTTGGTCTTGTAGCTGGCAAAGCTTCGGCGGGCATTGCGGATGCTCCTCCCAGCCTCTGCTGCTTCAGCTAATACTGCTGCTCTTCGCTCCTTGAGATCTTCCTTTATCGCCTCTCTGCATAGCTTCGCAAGCTCGGACGTGAGTTGGTGATTGCCTGCAGCTCGTGCGGCTCCACGCTGGCGTATCAGCTCGAGAGTTTCCGTAGACAGACGTCCTTTGGTGACTTGCAAACTCTCTGCCTTCCTGCCACTCTCGTGAAGGTGTTCAACGAGCCGATGATATTCCTCGTCGATGTTCTCGATAACGGAATCCTCCCATAAGCTGACAAGGGAAGCGAAGTGGTCCCAGTTGATGGTTGTCCTGGGGCTTCGCTTCCTGAACTTTGCTGCTCTCTCAACACGCATCGAGAAGTGGAATCTTTGCGCGGAGGAGACGATGGTCCGATCCCGTGTAGAACTTCGGAACAACAGCGACGTCGGTCAGGCAAAACCTTCGATTGAAGATGATGTGGTCTATCTCGTTATGGAACTGTCCATCAGGTGACTCCCAAGTCCAACGAAGGTGAGAGGGCTTCTGGAACTGTGAGTTACCATGGATGGTGTTGGTCGACATGATAAACTCCGACAGTCTCTCACCCTGCTCATTCCATTCCATTCCGTGAGTACCGATGTGAAGTTCTTCAGCCGTTCTTCTTGGGCCAATCTTGGCGTTGAAGTCGCCGACGATGACCTTGAAGAAGGTATGATCTTCCTTGTAGAACTTCTCCAATTCCATATAAAATGCTTCGTGTTCCTCCTCGTCGTAGCTCGATGTTGGTGCGTAGGCGACGAAGATTGTCAAAGCAGGAGTTGAACCACATCTTCTCAATCTCAAACGTCCGATTCGGGTCGTAAGGCTTTCGTACGAATCGATGTTTATGGCCAAGTGCGTGTTGACGAGGACACCCACACCGCCAACGCCTCTGCTGTCGCATGTTCCAAGGAACAGTTCTTCTCCAGTATCGAAAACGGCGTGTAGCGGGCGGTGCCTTCTCGTCTCGGTCAGTCCGATGACGTCGTACTTGATCTTCCTGGCCTGCATCATCAGATCTTCGATGTGAGCTTCGGATGCAAGCGTTCGTGCGTTGAAAGTACAGATCGCCATCTTAGTCCTTCTTCGTTTAGGCAGCCTATCCGGGCCCTGAGATTCTAGCAGCCTCTCCCGAGCGGTCCTACCCAACGCTGCCGTATTGGGGGCTCCCTCAGGTTCAGGGGAATGAGGCCCATCCATATTGCTGTTTTCGGCATATTGAAGGCACACGAGTAGCTTGCCAGGCTCTGTCGTGTGGGCTAGGATAGACCTCCAGGTAGTTAGCCACGCTATCCTGGAGCGGAACAAGGGGCTTATTTTTTGGAGGCGGCCCCGAATCGCCTCCCATGTACTTCCCAGTCACTTGAATGCAAGCTTTTGGCTGTGCCGACATGCAGGATACCAACCGCACACACACAGAGCGCACCACACACGCAAGCATGCATGGATGCGCCTGAGTGGAGACAGCTGGTATGAATCAACACAGCACTACAGAAACAGGGAGTCCATCCCCTGAATCCACCTGCGTCTCAGGGCAAGTACATGGTGGCTTTTGGTCCGCGATTTACCCCCTATCCGCCACCTGGGGTCGCGCCACGTAGCCTCGCCACCAACCGGCTCGAGATCTTTCAGTGAGAGAGGACCCTCAGTGAAAGATCCGTGGAGGAAAGAGAAATCTAATACGTTATAATTTTTCTTTATGACTAATCCGCTCATCGCCTAATTGGCCTAAACTATGAACGACTCCCATAAGATCACTATATTTTTTATCACGAATCCAGCCAGTATAAAAGGAAGATTGAGAAGTGAGATGCATTCTCTACTCATTTGTTACCATCCTACTAACCCTCTCAACTCATGGATGAAGTGTTTGCTGTTTGTGATCTTTATCAAGCCGAATTAAAGGAAGCAGTATGGGGATTGAAAAGACATGGTCTCAACAACAATGTGCTATCATGTCGGACAGCGAATTCGTTTCGGGAACGCCGTAGAGACGACATCAGCGAAAGAAGCTCTCGGAGGAGGGTGAGCAAATTGGATGCGAGTCGTCTCCCTTGCAATTGCTGCTTTTTCAGTCGTATAACTCTCCACTCTGCACAGAGAGGTGATTGGAGTTTTTGTGTGGTCCGCTGTGATGCTGGCGTTCTCCGGCCTCGGCTCGTGGATCGGTTCGCATGGTGTCGATTCCTTGGTCACAATGGCAGCCGGTAAAGATGCCGCTACTCTGATAACATACGTCATGTTGCCTATATTACATTCAACGCTAACTCCAAGGTGATTGAAACCTTTAAAGCGCTCCGTATGTTGGGAGGGAAATTCAAAACAGAGCATTCGAAAACCGCTTATTGGCACTAAGACTAAGCCCTAGAGCGATGGGAAACACAGGGATAACAAAGGTTGCTTGCGTCCTCCCCAAGGACCTCCTTTCCCTCCCTGAGGGTTAGCCCGAAGTCCTGTGAGTGGCTCACTTACTTCAGTGTCCCCTCTGAGGACATGAGCACCCCTTTCTCCTTCTGTTGGTCAAGTATGAACGTCGGCCCTCCGAAACCTTCCATAGCAAGCGAAATAGCGAAACGGCGGTGTGAAAAGAACGCGAATGATTGCAAGGAGCTGGTACGGATTGATGGTAACGCGTTTAGCACGTGATGGCTCATTTTTGTCGCGCGCGCGACGAGAAATGGTCTTCGTGCCGGCACAAAGTGCCGCCTGTGTTTGCGAAGAGAGCTCAGTGAGATGATCACAGAGAATGTTCGTGTTGAATGTAGATGGGTAGCAATCTATCGTGGGAAAGCGGAGGGCTTCGACGTGCTAATTATGTGTATCGATTGAGCAGTGAGTGGTCCGTTGAGTGAGCTTTATCTCAGATGATCTCGATTAATTCCTAAGTAAGTCACCGTTAAAACGCCACCAACCAGTTTTCACCGCATCTCATCATGTCACAGACCTCGCGCGCGTCACGCAGTCTCCGGCGTTGCCGCAAACTGGACCTCTTGACCCACACCTGGTGGCGTGCCAACAACAGGCCCTTGTAGGTGCGGCGCGATACTCGCGCATATTGTGGAAAATGAAAAGGTTTAGCAGAGTTGAAAAAAACTCGTCCACTTACCAGTTTCTTACTACTGTGACGCAGCGCGGTGCGACGTCGCATCGCGACGACTACAATCAATTTGCCACACAGACGTTCATTTCCTCTGGTGGGTATGGGATCTTAGATGAGACTGTACCCATCCATACACAGATTCCTTTATGGTAGTGATGTCGTCGGGTGGGACATTATTAGCCCGTACAGCCAACATCCCCCTCCACTAGTTCCCTTGAGACTAAGCCTTAGGGCGGGGCGGGTGGGGAGCAAGTAGGGGAGTCTGCAAACAGTTCTAATTTCCCTCGAAATTCCTCCTGCTCCTCGGCTCAGTACACACAACGATGCCCATCTGGCGATACCATCGCCTTCTTCACCCACTATGGGCTCGTTACTACCTCCAGAATTGAGGTTACCGTAACCCTCACGAACTGGTGCGTCCAAATACCCCCTAAGTTCACAAACGTTTGTATCCAATCATATGCCGTCGCATTTCAGTATGAAAGAAGCTACTTTGGCTACTTGGCTGATGTCACCATTCGTTTTATGATGCTGACGTCGGCGATCGCTCCAAGGTGTGCTCATTGGCAGCGTTCTCGACACCAAACATATTCAGAATGAACCACTCGCTTTCATAACTCCTATTACATTCGCCTTCATCTATGCGGTACGTTATTATGAACTAGAGGAAATGGGGGGGGGTGAGGGGAGAGAGTTTTGAGCCAATGGTTGAAGTGCGCACGGTTTTGTGCACGAATTTCAGATAGTCGTTGAATCCGTCGGTGGTCAGGCTGCACCGTTGCAATTCGCCTGTGCCGGCTCGGCACTTTTTGCCAATTACCTGGTGGGACTGCTGACCGACAAGCTGTCGAGCACCTACGAACTGATGGCTTTGGCCTACGTTGCCGTGAATGTCGCCATTATGCAGCTAATGTTGAGGGCAGGACCTGTGAGTATTTCGGATAGCTTCGTTTTTAGTCAAATCTTCCAGGACCAAAGATAGCTTATTCTCTTAGGTTTGCTTCTAAAGTGGCGAGCCAATGTATTACAAGACTTTATTCGGCTTAGTATAGCATACATTATACGAAGTTATACGAAGATCAGTGCGAGACCTAAAAACATGCAGACACCAATCAAGAAACTTCGAAACGTCCCCCTAAAGACAAAACATCCGGGGGGGGGCATCGTTAAAACACAAACAGCCGACTCCACCTTAGATAGCTAGTTGGTAAGTATATTAGTTTTTGAAGCCCTCAGCCTGTCCGCTGGTACATCTCTGTTTTAAGAGACTCGATTGTATAGTGTAACTTTGGAAAACGAATTTCATACCGGCGCTATCCCAAGATACGGGGGCACAGAATGAAATTGAAGGTAATGCAGAGCCCGCGTTCGAGTCTCAGTGCATCACAAAACGGTGAAAGATATCCTTTAGCTTAACATCGAGACTAAAACATTAGCCTTCGGCTAGGAGAGGCTCCATAGTGGCGCGAGCAATTTCGTTTAACTCCGGATTTCCTGTCCCTCCTGGCTGGTCCTGCAAAGGATGTCCCTTGCTGCTTGCGATATGCTGCGCAATCAGCTCTTCCAGCCGGTGCTACGATGAAGGGCAACAGATGCTACGAAGGCCGCTTCATGACATGCCAACAAACGGCGTGCGCCTGCATTGATTTTGGCAGAAGCTGGAATCTTCACGTCTGGCTACCTTAGCGCTATCAATGCAGGATATGATGAAGTGCCCTAAGAAAAAACCAACGAAATAATGTATGGGCTCGTCTATGACTGCGCCCTCGCACTTCTTTTATTTTTCTTCAGCTCAGAATTTTAACCTTTTAATCGGCATCATCGTCGAATATCAATATGATGGCCTGTTTATGTTTTTTGAAAAAGGCAAATATCTTAGCTCGGCCGAATTCCAAGAAACAAGGACGAAGCTCGTATAAGTATATTTAGTAAGCATGAGCCCCGTTTTGGGATGCGCCACGCATCCTATCCCATCGAGGATCGAGTGGGTTTTTGTGGGCGATTTGTCCCAGAGCATGGCTTGTGACGCGCCGACGGTGGAACTAAGTCAGTGTTCACTCAGCCAGTCGCGGTTCCAATTACCAACCCCGTGTTGATTGAACAAAGTGTCGGGGGTTGAGCATCCGGTGATCCACGAACTTCGATCCTGGACAGTGCGGCGTTCTTGCTCACCTGCCCCTACATACCACTCTTCAGCTGATAGGTGGATACAGTAATTCAGTTCAAAAATACATATTCGAAGTTAACACATTGACGACCGCGCGCGTTTTGGCTTTTTTGGCCGTGTGGGACCGGGCCGATTTTGCGAGTGCGACCGCCGCACCTCGGATCCGTGAATTTTTATTGATAACTTTTTAAAGCACCAGTGGTACAAAAACATCTCAGTAACAGTCAATGCGTAGAAGGTAATAGAGTATATAGTGACGAAGTTCCGATTAAAGAACATGTAATGGTAATGAAAAAGGAAACTTTAGTCATTTTATCTGTAGTGGATGCCAAAAGCTCTTTTGATGTGGTTATACCAAGTGAAACATGTATTTTTCTGTCTCTTTAGATTTGCATTTACTTTCACTACCCTTTTTTATTGACGTGTTCATGAGAATAGCATGAAAACTATTAATGAACCAAGCCGCCGGTTTCGGTGAGCTTGGAAAACTTCTTCTAAACTGGAGCATATTTGAACAAACAATGACCTATGTCGTTCACAATAATGTTATGTTCTAATCCATAGAAGAGAGACAAACAATTCGGGAAAAAGCTGCGCATGCCCTAGAAAAAGGGATGATAAGGGTGAGACGCGGTAACGCGTCTCAATGTCCAACGAGGTGCGCAAAGTGAGACGCGTTACCGCGTCTCAATGTCGTCAATGTGTTAAAGTTGAAGCTACTAGGGCAGTCAGTAAACGATCTTGCGGGCTGAAGGATTGAAAATACGCGGGACGAGACTTTAAGCCGCTGAGCCATATGCAGCGCAAAATATAACCATGCCGAAATCATTACCATAGCTTCCAGGGTTCTGGACACATTTGTCAGTACGTCCTGCTCGAGTCTGTGGTTTTCGTCCATGCACTGTTTCACCTGACAAGCGCTTATTAATGGTAGGTTGATTTAAGTGAGATTGTCTTATGCATGGCTCATCCACACCTCTTTCAGCTCAAACGAAACTCAAGTTCAAACTATGATCGTAGACAATTTTGAAATTGCTTTCACTGACCACTAAATCTATACGAATACGATTGATAGAATACTTGAAATCTTCGATAGCTCTCATCTATGTATATATGTGAAAATCAATAAAGAAATGCGATTGAGACGTGTTCACGATTTTCCCCCAGAAGTTGTTCACGTGCACGAACCCCCATGACCGGCTTTCTCATCTGGTTCAGCGCAGTTATGCTGCAATTTGACCAGGACCGGACCAGAAAAACACAGCCACACTTTGACATCTGACCCGAATCGGTCACAAACAGGTCTGTAGGCTAAATGCAGTTGTGGAACTTGTCTGCTGTCGATTTCAAGCAAATTATGCTGTTTATAAAGGTCACACTAATCCGGGACAAATGGCCAGTTAGGTCGAAGTTCTTCAGAAGTTCATGAAGTCTTTGAACTGCTTGCGCACACCCGAAGGCCATCAGATTGCCGAGCGGACAAGGTGGTAAGAATGCGATGACCGAAAGCGCTGATGGGCAAGAAAAGCTCAAGGGGAACGAGAAGGGGGCACGTGTGTTAGTAGTAAATGGACCTTGGAGGTAGGCTGATTGGGAAGCCCCTAACCCGGACTCTTCTGCAAATATTTTGAAGCGAGAGATTAC